AAGCCCCAAGCCCCCTAAACCCTCGACTGGGAGCCCATGGAGCTGGCCAAAACCCATAAGCCATAAAACCAAGGCGGATCCCTCTTACCCAGAACCTCGAAAAACTAAAAGAACCCTAAACCTCCCTAAACTCCCTAAACCCAAAACCCCTAAACCCCCTAAAACCCCCTAAACCCCCTAAGCCCTCAACCCAAAACCCCTAAACCCCCTAAACCCAAAACCCTAAACTCCCTAAAACCCTAAACCCTAAACTCCCTAAACCCTAAGCCCTAAGCCCAAAGCCCGAAACCTCCCAAAACCCTAAACCCTAAAACTCTCCTAAACCCGAAACTCCCTAATCTCCCTAAACTCCCTAAACCCTAAGCCCTAGGAGCCCCTAAACCCAAAACCCTAAACTCCCTAAACTCCCTAAGCCCTAAGACACCCTAAACCTCCCAAAAGCCAAGGCAGATCATCCCCTAAACCCAAAACCCTAAACCCAAAGCCCTAAGCCCCATAAGCCCTATAAGCCCTAAAACCTCCCAAAAGCCAAGGCAGATCGAGGCCCTCGAGCAGGCCTCGCAAAACTCTGCCGAGCCTCCGACGAAGCGGCAAAGGGCCGATGAAGGTCAGTTAGGGATTCAGGGTTTAGGGTTGGTGCTTTAGGCTTGGAGCTTGTTGTCTGAAGGTGTCTTCATCCGGGCCCCTCATGCTCTGGTTTCGGCTTTGTAAATGGTAAGGCTTAGACATTTCAGACTTCGGGTTGAGTTGTCGAGGGTTTAGAGGTTAGTGAAGATGGGGTCGAAGTTGGTGAACGGAGGGTTTTTGTGATTTCGAGATTCAGCGCTAGGTATCTATTGCTCAGGGTTGAGAACGCGGGACTTGCTTGTATTGTAGGTTGCTTTGGGTTTGGTATTCTGCGGTCTGGACCCATGGGACTCAAGTTCAATCCCGTGTACCGTCTTTGTGGGCGGTAGTTGAAGTGCCTTATTGAGCGGCTTCGGGACCGTCGTGTCGTGTCAGCGTTCTGGGCTCTTCGTGCCTTGGTTTGATGTCTAAGTGGAGTTCTTCTTGCCGCCAGGTGCACCAGCGGAGAATGTGCCTCCACCGCCCCCGCGTCACTTGGCGAGGGATACCTGAACGCCTCGATTTTCCTGACCCCTCACCGCGAAACTCGAAAGCATGCCTGTATCCGCAATCCCGCAAAATAGTAATGCATTAGTGATCATTAGTGCTTTGAAAGTGGACTCTTGTACTCACAGGTGTGCCCCAAACCATGAGCCTTAAACCGACGACAGGACTCCAGGTATTCGTCCTCCTACTCGGATTGTGGACTGAGTTGAAGACCCAGGTATCTGCGTCTTATGTGTGTGTATATGTTTATATATATATGTATGTATATATATATATTGTATATATATATACACATAATGTGGTAATACCTGCAGCACAGAGTGCATCATGAAGCTTACATTACATGTTGATCTGTGAAGCATGATGCCAACCGTTTCCGAGCCTCACCCGGCCCACCGATTGTTGATGCTGGACCTTGGATGAAGGCAGCTTTCCATGGCTTCCAGCTTCTAAACCCTAACGCCTAAACCCCCAAACCCTAAACTCTAAAACCTTAAAACCCTGCAGCCTAAACCCCTAAACCCTATGCCCTAAAACCTTAAAGCCCTAAACCCTCTTCCCTTGTTGCTTTGTGACTATGAACTGTGGTTTGGCTCTAATCTGCGTAGTCTTCGGACTGTTTCGGGTTCTTCTGAGATCGGTCTGAACGTTCTCAGAGAGCACAGTGTCCTTTAACACAGAAATGTAGGTCAACTCTGTTCAGCTCTCGATAACACGATACATAAAGATACATAACTATACATATCTACATCTATACAAACATGTATATCCACATGCATACAACTCACATGCATACACACAATATGCACTGAGGTTTATGTACATGCGGTCGTAGTTTTGCAAACAATCCTATAAACCCTAAACCCTAAATCCTAAATCCTATAAACCCTAAACCCTTAAATCCTAAATCCTATAAACCCTAAACCCTAAATCCTAAATCCTATAAACACTAAACCCTAAATCCCAGAACCCCTTTTGCCCCAAAGCCACTCAGGGCCACCCCCTGGAGAGTCCCTGGCGACGACTCCCAAAGCTCCAGGAGCCAGGCAGATTGCAGTCGGAGCCTGCAAGGTTTTAGGGTATAGGGTTTAGAGGTTTAGGGGTTTAGGGCTTTCAGGTTTTAGGGTTTAGGGTTTTCAGGTTTTAGGGTTTAGAGTTTAGGGTTTGAAGGCTTTGGGGCTTGTTGGGTAGTTCTCTAAATTACGGTCCTTTTCGGTCCAAGATATAGTACGGTACCATTATAAAAAGGACCTTAAAAGGGACCCTAATTTAGAGAACTACCCTGGTGTTTAGGGATTTGTAGGGTCTTGGTGTTTTGGGGTCTTGGCGTTGGGTTTTAGAGTCCTGGTGCTAGGTTTTGGGGTGTTTCGGCCTGGGGTTCTAGGGCGTTGGGTTCAAGGTGTAGATGTAGTGTAAATCTATAGGTTCCACGTACAAAGCTCTGGATGCTAGTTGGCACCTGAAGCCCGACTGTTAGGAGCTACTTGGGCCCTTGCCGCTAAAACCCTCGAGCCAAAACCCTAAACCCTACACCCTGGACCCTACATCGTAAACCCTAAACCCTAAACCCTAAACCCTGGACCCTAAATCATAAACCCTAATCGGTCAGTGGCTGCGAAGGCTTCTGATGCATCCAATTGCAGGGCTGGCAGCCCTGGGACCGTTGGAAACCCCAATAGCCTCAATCCTTAACATGTATAGGGAATCCCAGCACTAGTTGCCCTTAATGTGGTTTCCAAGTTAGTTTGGTCTACTAGAGGCGTTTCTGAGATAACAAAGGTGGCTTAAAATGAGTTCCCCCGTCCTCACATTATTATTGTTGAGGCGGCATTCTCAAGCTAGGCGGCGTTCCCCCAAAGTTTGATTCTGGGTCGGTTCGGCTTCGGGTTCAGGGTTTTTCGGGTAGGTCCTTGTTGAAAGAGGCTCGTGGAAGGATCTATGTGATTTTCCAGTGCGTTGATGGAGTGTTTTCTGGTATGATCAGTATCTCCTAGTCTGAGTTTTCAGTCCCTGCCTAAGTATCTCCAAATCACCCCACCGCAGATATGCACAGACTTTCAATCGATGATTCTGTTGCTAATATTCCGTCATGCAGTAGCTTCTGCAGTAGACGATATACACGCATGCGCCATGAGTGTGCTGCACCTTGTCTCTGTGTACATGCGTGCATTGATACATCCATCCATACATCCATCCGTACATGCATGCATGCATGCACGCAAACAAACAAACATACCTACATACCTACATACATACATACATACATACATACATACATGCATACATACATACATACATACATGCATAGATAGATACATATGTACCTACATACCTACATGCACACATGCATACATAGACACATGCATACGTGCATAGGCACACACACACATATATATATATATATACACACACATACATACACATACAACACCTTTTGCCCAGGTGTGTGATATAAAATCACGCTCGACACACTAAGACAGAAGGTGTAGGTCAAACAAAGACACCTGGGGCAAAGAACCCTTCCCTACCGATGTAGCAGGCCGTTCGGAGCCTGTGACCAAGAGGCTTTCGGCGGAGCCTGTGGAAGCACCTTGGGCGCTTAGAATTTAGGGTTGAGGGTTTAGGGTTTAGGGACTTTTTGGCGGATTGCAGGCATGGCATAGGAGTTTAGGGATTCCGAGGCCTTAAACCCTCAAGCCAATTACTATTATCATTATTATCACTATTACTATCATTATCATCGTTACTGTTATGTGTGGCTTGACTTTCGGGTTCCGTCTTCACGAGATGAATTGCGTGGCATACCCAGGACGGCCTTACTGGGTCAACAGGCCAAGAAAATACAGTCTGAGAAACAAGGATGCCAGGGCTTAACGTGACAGTTGTTGTCTCGTTCCCCCCCATCGTGCAGAAAATAATCGGAGACTGAGCCGGCCTTTGAATCGGCAACTGCGCAGAGTCGCAATGGTGTCCATCGGATGACGGTGTACACTGGCACCCCACTCCACCACTCCAAACGGGAACTGGCTGGAGATGTCGTAGCTTACTCTCCAAACGCCGCCATCCTAATCCCTGTGAAACCCTACCAAAAGTCTCCATTGTAGTTCCTTTTTGGGGGTTACCTTTTAGGATCCTTAATATGAATTGGTTATTCCAAAAAAAGGAACTACAATGGAGACTATAGGTAAAGCCTAAACCCTAAACCAAGCCGCAGGCGGAACAGCAAATCCTGCAGTGCCACAGTTGAAACACTTCGGGTTGTCAAGTTGTTGGGTCCTGCATTTCGTTTGCCGACACTTAAGAGACATAGTATATAGTATGTGGATTACTTGATCTGCGATATGGGAGAGGAACGACTAATGTCATGACTTTATGTGTTTCATGCTCAATCAAGCTCAGCTTCAGGCAACTTTGGCTGCAACGGCGGTGCTTGCGGTTGTGGCGGCTGTTGCGGTGGATGCTGCGGCGGCTGCAGTGGGGGCTGCGGTTGCGGTAACTGCGGCTGCGGTTGTGGATGCAACTGTGGTGGCTGTGGCTGCTGTGGTGGCTGTGGAGGCTGCGGTGGCTGTGGCGGCTGCGGTGGCTGTGGAGGCTGTGGGGGCTGCGGCTGCTGCGGCGCCTGTGGAAACTGTGGTGGCTGCGGCTGCGGCTGTGGCTGTGCTGGAAATTGCTGTGGCTGCGGCTGTGGAAACTGCGGCGGCTGCGCGTGTGGCTGCGGAAACGGCTGTGGATGCGGTGGCAACTGCGGCTGCAACTGTGGAGCTGGGCAGAGTACTGGCAGCATGAACCTTTGTTGCACACGGGCACGGAACCTAATTGTAGTTGTTGCGGCCGAGTGCATTGCTCCGCTTTTTTCTGCCTTCTCCGAAGCCTTTCCTTAGAGCCAGGAAGCCCGAGGATGAGGGCGGCTGCCATTCTGTGGCAAAGGCGGATGAGGGCATGATGGGATCGAACATGAACCCGATGGCCATGACGCCGCCGCTCGACTGCCGAACATAGCCTTCTCCGGGAGTCTGCAAGTGTGGGAGAGTCCACCCGATTCTCAATGGGGTTTAGGGTTTACCACCAGCGATTGCAAAGCTACATCCTGAGCCCAAGGATCAGGGCAAGAGCGATTCACGGCTCTAGGCCCTAGGCCCTGAACACCAGCACCATCACAAGGCCCGTTTGTTAAAACGGTACACAAACTGCAACAAACAGTCCTCCGCCTGAAAACGATAGTCTAGGAAATTGATTCGAAGCATCACCGGGTTCTGGTTCCCTACAAGACTGAGCCACACTCAGAGCCCTCGTAAGGACAAACGGGTCTCTTATTCAGGCTCTTACCTTATAATTATACTGAAACCCCTAAACCCTAAACCCCTAAACCCTGACTGGATCTGCAGGCGGAAAAAGGAGCTCAAAAAAACCAAAAACCCTAAACCCTGCACCCTAAACCCCTGAACCACAAGGATGGGCATGAACCCGATGGCCATGATGATGATGGGCGCCGCGATGATGGGCCAGGCGTGCTATCCAGACTAGTTATGTGCTAGTTCGGCTCTGGAAACTCTTAGCCCTAAGGCCCTAAACCCTATCAACCCCTATAAACCCTAAACCCTATAAACCCTATCAAAGTATTCCGGATTAATGGGATTTGCGGGGGAGAGGGTTGGTCACTAGCGACGGGGCCTTCGGGTTTGGGACTGTCAGCCGAGTCATTCATTGCGCGGTTCTGGGGTTCCCAACTGAAGTGGAAGCCTTCTGCGCCTTTCTGCGGTGGGAAACAGGAGATCCGACTATGACTGTTAGAGTTTAGGGTTTGGGATTTAGAGTTTAGGGTTTCGGGTTTAGGGTTACGTAGATGAATGTAGAGCGTTTCAGGAAACACTCCCTGGCGAGTTAGACCTTAAAGACACCCTGGGACCCGCACCCCAAAACCCTAAACCCTAAACGTGGACCGGGCGGTTTAGGGTTTAGGGTCTAGGGTTCAGGGCGAAGCCTGGCGCAAAATGCAGACACAGGACTAGTTCACCCCCTTTCTTCAAGGAATTTTTCTGTTGCTAATGCAAGTGGATTCCGATCCTAGTCCTTCTCAGTTGAGCCAGGGGCGTTAAGTATTCAGGGGACTACATTATAGCAAGAGGTCCATAATTCACTACTAGCAACCCCGCGACACCATGATGAGAATGGCCTTTGGGGCTTTTTTTTGCATTATGGCAGTATCTTGAAGCCCTAAACCTTCAGCCCTAAACCCTAAACCCTAAACCCTAAACCCCTACCCTACTTAAACCCTAGGCAATGAGCTTCAGGTCATGATGGCCGGCTCCGGCACTGGAGACATGGCCGTGCAGCAGCAGAAGCTGCCCGCAGCGGATGACGACGACGAGGAGGACACTGACGAACGCTGTTTAGGGCTTAGGGCCTAGGGGTTTTTATACCTCGATCACTACACCGTGACCCGCATACAGGCGCGGTTTCGAGAGCTTCGGATGCAGAGCATCCGAAGAAATAGGCCTTTAGGATTTAGACATTTAGCCCCTACGCGAAACCCCCCAAACTCCCCTGTACAAAAGTCCGATTCCCAAACTTCATCCCGAAGACTGGGTCTGGGTTCAAGTCCATGTCGGACCATCTAAAGACGCTCACATTGTGACATGTACGTATGTATGTATGTATGTATGTATGTATGTGTATATATATATATGTAGCTATATATATATATGTGTGTGTGTGTGTGCGCGCGGGTGTGTGTGTGTGTGTGAGTTTGTTTGCCAATATGTTTTCGAGCGCTACATGTGGACAGCAGCGCTATAGTTCACCATAGCATGATGCTGATGTGACGACGACGATTGCGAGTGACGATGGTAAGCAGGATGTGGGCACGGAAGATGGTGGCAATTACGCTGGTGTGACATGTAGTGATGGACGGATGACGAGGGTAAGCATGAGCCTGATGATGAGGATAAGGACCGTAATGATGGTGAGGGTGAGAGTGAGGATGCTGCTGTTGCTCATGCTGGTGATGATGGCGATGACGGCGATGATGATGATGATGATGATGAGGATGAGGGGGGGTGACCACCACCACCACCATTTCAACTAGAGGCAGTCATCAACCCTAAGTCATATAATCTCTAACCTCTACTCCCTAAACACTAAATCACACGGCAGTCAGGACACTGGCTCCTACGGCTCGTCCTTCAACGTGAATCATCCCAACTACCGGCCTCCCGACATGGAGCAGATCCCGGGAGTCACCGACAAGAGGCAGCGGAGCGAGTTGGATATATATATATATACACATACATACACACACACACACATTTATGGTGTATATATATACACACCATATATATATAGATATATAGATAGATAGATAGATAGATAGATAGATATGGATATCAAAAAGGGTAAAAATGGGCTTAGGGCTTAGGGATAGAGGAAAAAATGGGCTTAGGGCTCAGGGATGGAGGTGCGGAACAAACAGCCTGTAGGGCCGTGGGTGATCCGTAAAGCCTACAATTCTTGAACTTCCTGCATCGGGGGTAACGCCAAGGAGTTTGCATCGTGCCTCCGATGCAGGGTTCATGGGACTCCGGTTCAGAGGCTTTCGGGCTTGTGAATTTCGTGTTTGGGGTTTTAATGCCTAGAGTCTTAGAGGGTTAAGGGTTTCAGGTTTTACAGGATTCCAGGCTTCTGTGCTCAGACTTTTCGGCTGCACGTAGGAAAACAACAAGATTTTCAGGAGCAGGGTTTCGGGCCGTTTTAGAGTTTAGAGGGTTGCTCTGAACATAGGACCCCTGTCGCAAGCAATTGCTTCAATAACAGGGTTGAGAACACTGCACCATGTGTGCCATGTATGCAGTTTGGAATACCCAAAGGGTCCAAGTTCCACTATAGCAGGTACTTAGTATTTCTTGGTAGGTTAGTAGGTGCTTGGGCCCCAACAGTATGTACCATACTATTACTTGGAGTTTTTAGGATATGATATTCTCGGAACCGCAGCCGCTTCCCAATACCCCAGCCTAGCAGTCAACTTCGATCCTGCAAACCCTAACCCTTAAGGATTCTCTAAAGTTTCGGGGTTTGTGGTTTGTTNNAACAAACCACAAACCCCGAAACTTTATAGAATCCTTTAACGGAAACCCTTATCATACCCTTATAGTACCTTTTACAGGAACCATCATAGTACCCTCGTCGTACCCTTTAAAGGAACCCTTATAGTACCCTTATAGTACCCTTCAAAGGAAACCCTTAGTAGCCTCATCGTACCCTTTGAAGGAACCCTTACAGTACCCTTATAGTACCCGTCAAAAGAAGCCTTATAGCACCCAAAAGAAGCCTTATAGCACCCTGATAGAAAACTTAAAAATATATAGTTTCATAGTACGCTTATGGTACCTTTTAAAGAAAACCCTTATAGTACCCCCCCCCCATAGTACCTTTTAAAGGAACCCTTATAATACCCTTATTATACCCTTCAAAGGAACCCTTACAGTACCCTCATATACTCTTGTAGAGCAATTTCAAGGATCCAGTAAACCGCGCGTGAGCAGGTTCGTTGGTCGAATCAAGTTCTGGTTCGAGAACAAGGCTGGATTGCCGGAACTGCTAAGACCGTGCCCGTTCTGGTTTTCGGAGCATATTCCCAGACAAGTTATATATCCGGATTATACAGAGATGTAAACAGATAATGCATAGAGTATTCTTTTGATCTCTTTGTCTATGTATCTATCTACCTGTCTATCTGTCTATCTATCTCTCTATCTATCTATATCTGTCCGCTATCTACCCACTGTCTCTCTATCTACCTACATGTCTACCTATCCGCCTATCTACCTATCTATCGGAATCTCTAAACTTCAGGTGAGTATTTATTAGTGTGTGTATGTACACGCATATGTATACACATTGCTACGGTGCAGCAACTGTAATGTTTTGGAGTTCTGGCCTTCGGGTGTGCTTCAGCTGGCCATGAATCGAAGAAATACATTCAGTGCCGAAGGCTTAGAAGACGTGGGAAAGGCTCTACGGGTTTTAGGGTTCGGGCTTATGGCCTGGGTGTTTGGGGTGCGGGTTTGTTGAAAAGTTCCTTGGCTGCTGAATCCTGTCCGAGCCGGACACCCATGACACCCTGCGTACGATGTGGCCTTTGCACAGCCCAAGCCTGAAAACCCCTGCAGCCCACAAGCTTGCATGCACACTGCCAAAGAGCGTTAACCCACTTTTATGTTTCGACAGCCGCGCTTCCCAAGCACTGCCTGCAATTGATGAGGTTGAAATTAATGATAGACTGACTAGAAAATTCGAAGCCAGACATTGCAATAGTGTGTTGCGGCTGAGATTATGTACTAGTTGAAATCAGGCAAAAGGGCAACTGTCTCGCGGTTACCTACTTCAACTCCTCGCACCCTGGCAGGGCTTTGGCTTCATCGAGAGCGAGGAATTCTCGAAAGTTTTCGGTGGGGACTCCGACGTCTTCCTCCACCACTTCCAAAAGAAGCCGGGAGCTTGCTTAGGTTTACATATCCCTAAGGGTCCATATGCCCAAACAGTATACACTTTGGGCCCCAAAGCACCTCGACTTTAATTAAGGCCAAAGTACATACTGTATGTGTACATGGCCACTTAAACCCTAAACCTTAAACCCTTATGGTACCCATATAATAGTACCCTTATGGCCACTTAAACCCTAAACCTTAAGCCGTTATGGTAATGACATGGTACTACCCTTCTAGAACCCTGAAGGACACCCTTTAAGGAACCTGTAGTCCTTTAAGGGCTCCTTTAATTAAGGGACCCTTAAACCCTAAACCCTAAACCGTCTATGATAAAGGGCTCCTTTAAAGGCACCCTTTAAGGAACCCTTCTTGGGGTACATGGATCCTTTAGGGAAGGAGACTTCGGGTTCCAGCTTTCGGGCTAGAGCTTAACAGTTTAGGGGTTTTAGGGGTTTTAGGGGTTTTATGGGTTTTAGGGGTTTTAGGTGTTTTGGGGGTTTCAGGGATTTTAGGGGTTTAGGGGTGTTTGGCATTTAGGGTTTAGCGTGTTGGGGCAGCTGGGCTTGGCCCGGATGTTACAGGAGTCATATTCGCCTGAGCCGATTGGGAAGAGTCGAGGAGCGTCTTGTTATGAGGCTACTCGTACTGAAAGGTTCCGACGTGTTCTGGATCTTTTGGGCTTGTAGAACCCCAAACCCTAAACCTTAAACCGTGCCCCGGATGCGAACTTCCGTTGTGGTTGCAGGCTGCATGGCTTTCGGATCTGAGTTTATTGTTTGATTGGTGTGTGGTAGACAAGGTGTTTTCGAACGTTATGGAACCCCATGTTGGGATGGTTAATCTACAGCCACCATAGAAGCAACTCGTAGGTAAGCCCCACTACAACCCGATGCAGCCCGAAGCCATGTGAACGCGGTAAAGTTCAATGTGCAAAGGCTTGGAATAGTACAGTA